TACCTGCTTATCTCCCCCCACTGAGACGCTCCAGACCATTGAAAATAAAGGTAAAACTTGGATCCAGAACAGTAGCCCCATACTAAGAGATTGTTTTGAATGCACAGACTGGCAGGTCTTCAGAGAAGCTGCTAAAAAGGAGGGGGGGGGGGTGTTGACCTGGGAGCAATATACATCCTCAGTCCTGGAGTACATTATTAAATGTGCTGATGATGTCACCACCATCAGATATGTTAAGAGCTACTCGAACAGGAGGCATTGGCTGAATGCAGAGGTGCGCACCTTGCTGAAAGCCAGGAACACTGCCTTCAGGTCTGGAAACTCACAGGAGCTGAGAAGGACAAGGAAAACGCTTGTTGCTGGTATTAAGAGGGCCAAGGCTACATATGCACAGAGGCTCCAGGGTCAATTCACCTCACAAAACCCTCGGAGCATGTGGAGGGGCATGTGTATTCATTCATTCAACCTTTATTTATACAAGTTAGTCCCACTGAGCCATGAGGACTCATTTAGAAGAGAGACCTGAATTTTGAATTTGGACTCTGGTTTTTGCCCTGCTGAAAATCTGAAATGTGTTTGGAATAAAACGACTTAAAAGCAAAAGATTTTCTTTAATAGATTGAGAAAAAATGATCAGATGACTTTAAGGGGCTTTGTAAAAAATACGTTAAAACTTCTTTAAAAATTAAAATTCTACCGGGCAGAAAAAAATAAAACCCTACAGTTTTCAGAAGGCACTTTTGGAAGCAGTCCTAAAACCAAACATTCAAAAACAGAACGAGCACCACTTCCTGTACGACAGGAAGTCAGCAAAGCTCATTTTGTACGCATAACGTAGTATAACAGATTATAAAGGCAGGAGTGAACAATGCCCTAGAGACCCATCACTGCCTGATGCCCTCAACAAGTTCTACACAGGCTTTGAAGACCCAAACAGACCGCCTAGCACCAGACTCACCTCAACACCGGAAGAAGAGCATCTCAGCGTGACCTCAGCAGAAGTAAGGAGTACTTTCAGGAGGATTAATCCTCACAAAGCAATCGGCCCAGACAACATCCCCAGGTAGGTGCTGAAAGAATGTGCCGATCAGCTCTGCGAGGTGCTGGCTGACATCTTTAACACCTCACTTACCCTGGAGACAGTTCCCACCTGCCTGAAGACTGCCACCATCATCCCAGTCCCAAAAAGTTCTACAGTGAATGGACAATCGGCCAGTGGCCCTCATCCTGATAGTCACTAAATACTTCTAAAAACTGGTCATAACTCACATCAAAACAACCATCAACATCAGCGAGGACCCTCATCAGTATGCATACCACGAGAACCGATCAACAAAAGATGCCATCTCCTCTATAGTCCACACTGTGCTCAACCACCTGCAGCAGAAGGACTCTTACGTAACTAGTTCCAGAGTCTTGGTCCTGCTACAGAGAAGGCCCTGTCACCTCTGCGCTTAAGACGAGATCCTGGAACTGTGAGGAGCAACTGGTCCGCTGACCTCAGGGAACGCGGTGGGACATATGGTTGTAGCAGATCAGAG